TGACTTATTTTCTTCCCGTCTACAAACTGAGAAACTGTTAACCACACTTTTCCCTTCCCCCTCCCAATAAGGTAAATTTATATTATTTATATTAAAAACAAAAACCATAAATACCCACTTTAACTGATGTAAAAAAACAAACAAAAAAAACCCCATCCATTAGAAAGTCATTTGGTTTCATTAACAAACAATCCTGAGACTGCAGTGGACTACAGTGGCATTTCCGAAGCAGTGTCAAGGTTACAGGTGTGCCAAGGTGCGGACCTCCTAACCCTCCAGGTGGCAGGTGGGCTGACTCCTTTTGCTCTCAGCCACCTTTTCCTGCTTTATTCCAGTGTACCATCAAGCCAGTCTCACTTCCCACGTGACCTGAAGTGAAAAAGGTTGGTCGGTCGGCACTGGCTTGCTATAGAATTATTTATGTGTTGGGAAACAGTTCAAGGCCACCCAACTTGAGTAACCTCTGGCAGGTCAATTCCCCCTTCTGGGTCTTAGTTTACTCACAAGCATGGAGAGGTGATTACACTAAACGAGCCCCAATTTCCCTTCTAGTTGTACAATATAATTATTCTGTGGATTGTAAAATGCCCATGTAACAGCCTGAAAGATAACATTTTGTGAAGAAAAAAAGGACAAAAATTTAAAGTGAGACTTGGAGATGGCTCAAGACTTCCTGCTAATCCTTGTTTCTCTAACAAATCTGACTGGGTGCAGGCTATGTGCCAGAGAACTGTGACTGAGAGTGGGATTATGACTAAACCAGGGAAGCATATTCCCTGTTCTCTTCAAGCCCACAGTTCACTTGGAACCACATGCCAAAAAAAAAGGCATTACAATTTAGTGGGATAACTACTCAAATGAGGGAAAACACAGAGTGCTTAGGTGTGTGCCAGGGGTTCCCATCCCAGCTCTGGGAAGGGAAGGCTTAGTGCAAGGGGTGACATCCAAGACAAGACTCCCAGAACAAACAGGAGCTGACGGGTGGGGTGCAATGTGGGTGTGTGAGAGGCAGGAGTGGATGTTTTGGGGAAAGATGGTGTTCGAGGCAGACGGAATACCATCTGCCAAGCCCCAGAGGTACAGTAACTCGAGACTATGTGGCTGGAACTTTAAGCATTAAAGTTAGGAAAGCCCTGTGTGTGCAGAATGCAGAGGGACTGGAGGTGGGCAAGGTGGAATGGGAAGGGCCAGTGGTTGCTGAGTCTACAAACACTCGGATTATGTGGGGAGAATCAGGGAAGAGAACAAAAATCAGGGCCTAAACGGGTAGTCCTTCCCATTCTACTTGGAGAAATCAAACAAGGCTTCCCAGAAGAGGCAGAGCTAGGTCTTAAAGGATAGGAAGGAACATACAATAGCATCTTGTCACCATTGTATTATTTGTATTTTTTTGATGTTCAGATTAAACCGTAACTCTAAATTCTAAAAATAAGAAAATATTTTTAAAAGATTCTTTAAAAGGTCTCATTTAAACCCACTGCAGAGAAACTATTTCTTCAGTGCTATGCCTGGGAAGGCTTTCCAACAGCCTTCTTTGCCTTTTTTGCACAATCTCAGTGACAGAGCCAGAACCGAAACTCCCTGCACGTACACTGGGGTCACTCTAGGCCCCAGAACTCCAGCTCAGACCCCTCTGCTGGTCCTCATATCCACCTTTACGTTAGGATTTCCTCCTCATGTCCCACAAGCCCCCAAAGTCACGGTCCCTTTCTATCTGGTTCTTTGCTATATTCCTGCCAGGAAACTTAATATATAGTAGGTCAAAATAATGTTAGCTTCTTTATTGACCGATTAGATATCTTCTACTGGAGTCTTGCCAATTCTTCTGCTGGACAATCTTGTTGTTCCCTTAGACTCTTCTAAAGCATTCTATCGGTGTTAATTGGATGCATCTCCACCAGATTAGAGAGGTATAGTACATGTCTTTCTTCTTTGTAAACCTAACATCAAGAACAAGACTGACACAAGATAAGTGTCAAAATCCATAAGAACAAAATATTCATAAAATAATGCTAACAAAAAAACTCATAAATAAATGCAAGATTGTGAAATGGGGGGGGCGGGGGGAGGGAGGACATATTCTTAAAACCAGGAGAGAAAAAGCGGGCAGAACATTGGCTTGTTCAGAAGCACTATAATAAGTTAATGTAATACAAAATCCAAAAAAGGATACTTATAATTACATGGATGAAAGACCATTGCTTAAAATCACATGATTATCAAAAGAACAATGTCATTTGACTTTCAGAAAATTATTTTCAGAGTATATTTTATAATTAACACCTAAAAAATATTTTGAATTGAGTTTTACATAGTAAGTTCTTTTTAACACTATCCCTTTATAACTTGCAAAATAGAATGCACTTCACCATAGCAACAGTTCTATATCAACTCCTACTCAAGTGAGAAAAAGCATATGTAAAAGAATCGAATGTTCTGGAATATTCTAAGATGCTTGCTGGAATAAATCACTGCATTTATTTTTATTAAAAATTTAAATATAAGAGTTCAGTGTTTCTTTAAAACATTCTTGTAATTAGGCAGAAAGCTATTTTAGTTTCTCGAATCTGGCTTTATTAAATAGTATAAATATATTATTTAAAAGAAAGAGGAAAAAATGTAAAAGGGATAAAAAGAAACAAAAAAATAAATGTCAAGGATAACATACTTGGGATCAAGCTGGTTGGTGCGCTGGGGGAAGGCAACAGTAACAGGAAATGATGTTCAAGCAATTTATAAGTAAAATATAAACCAAGGTCCTAATTATTACAGCCATATTACTTTCTCAAGAAAAGCTACCCTACTGGTATTATGGGAACTGAAAAATTCTTATGTTCACATAATCTTCCTTTAAAAGACAATAAAAGCATTAGTACTTATTAACTTGGTTTGATATATTAAGTAATTTACAAATTCCCTAATGAGAATGAACAAGTTTATAGACAGTGGGGATCAGGTTATACACTACCAAAAGTCTTTGCATGATATCAAAATGTAACATTAAACGAGATGGAATTCAAAGCATTTCCTTCCACTTAACGCCTGTGGCTAGTCAAATTCACCGTGCACACATCTGTCATCCTCGCTCTCAGCCCAAGATGGCTGCTATATTCCCAACTCCCCTGCTGTTCTCGGCTTCCTTCCTCTGACCTAATTTTCAACTGCTGCCCTATATTTCAATTCTTCCACTGTCCTCCAGAAAATTCCCACATACTTCTACGTTTCTAACCTCCGTGTTTAACGTTTCTGCCATACACTGGCTTAAACTGAAACCTGTTACTCCCCTGCAGTCCTCTCATTCGGAGGCTGAGCTTTTGGCCACATCCTACCATAGATACCTCAGAGTTCAGAGGTTCTCCCATGTCTGCTTCTTTAGGGCTTTGCCATCTCTACCTGTCCTCAGTGCAGACATCTGCACCTCCAGGTCACGAGTCTCCATCCCTTGAAATCTGACACCCGAACCACCTTTATCTTCCGCCACAAATCTACATTCACACGGACAGGGCAGGCGTTCCCAAGCTCTATTCTTGATCTCCTCATCTCCATGGCCATACCTCAGATCACCCAGAAGAACATAACCTCTGAAATCTTAAAGCCACACATCTCATTCTCTGACAAGACCTCTCTCACTTAGCTATGCCTGACATATTAACTCTCTGATCTCATTGCCAGATTAATTTAACTCTGTGTTGACAAAGACTCTCTCTTTGACCAAAATCTAGTAAGGCTTCATATTTGGCCTATAAAAACTGCACCTTCTCTGTACAAATCACTTAATTCACCCTTCCCACTAAGAGACCAGAACTGACAGCTCAAGGCCACGTCCTCAGGAGGACTCCAGCTCCCCTTCAAGTGTCTGCCTAAGAAAACACAGCACTGCCAGCAGAATTCACCGTTTGTTCCAGTCGAAACCTGGTGACAGGCAGACAGGCCCCTGAACCCTCTCTTAGAGCAGTTACTTCAGAAAGCTTGCAATTATACATCTTTTCTTTGCCCCTTAGAGATGTAAATCTTCTTCCACCAAGGACTGAGTCCTCAAGGACTTTAGAACTGTTATCTTGGAAATACGAACATGCACTTCCCAGTCGCTGCAGGAGGGTATAAGCACCAGTTGCCAGTTAGTAAACCCAGACAGGTTGGTTTCACATTAACCAATTTCATTTCCTGCTTTTTATAAGTTTGCACTTCCCCTAAACCTGCTCATCACCCCCTGCCCTCAACCCGACCCCTCCTTGTTCTTTCAATCCACCTTCGAAATGCCCAGTTATTCTGCACAAATAGAAGATGAGTTCAGTTCATGCTGGGCTCTTAATCCTATTACAATATTACTGAACAGAAGTGCCCTTACTGCGAGCCATACTGCTCCATCCTGCCTGGATGTGAATCATCCCAGACTTATAGTAAAAACTTGTCTTCTCTGCTAGACCGCGAGCTCTCTAAAGGCAGTGAGTACTTCTGTCCTGCCCACCACTCTCTGTCTTAATATTTGCTTCACCACCTGGAGCTAAATAGGTACTAAGCAAGTATGTGTTAAATGAGTAGGTATTTAGGGTCATTAATGTTCTGTAAGAGAATTCTCACCCAGATGACACAAATTCTCATCCCTTAAATCAGCAAAAGTATCGGTGAATACTTCAAACTCCAGACAATGCACATAACCCAACACACTAATAGAAATTTGCAAAACCATGATATGATTCTATTCTATTAGTACTTGTGGACATTTATAAATATAAAATATTTTTACAGGTTACCTAGGATAACTAAGACTAATCCTTTAGTTGCTAAATCTTTCCCCCTACAGAACATCTTTCACTGGAGATAGCACCAATTCCATATTTAGCAATAAATATAAAATTATAACCAAGGATTAGTCCACTTAAAGTCAAAGTTAAAACTTAGGTTTTAACTTAGTGTTTTAAAAAACACTATTTGGTATTTAAAAGTCTGTGACCAGCATTATCACCTTTTACTTATTTGGGGCCTAATGTATTACTTACTGATAAATGTGTACTGTTGGGAACATACTGATCCTGTTCTCCAAGCAACACATCAATCACAGGGTGCCGGCCATTCTTTATGATGATTTTCCTTTCTTCTTGCAGAGTTGGTCTGTAAAAAGAAGCATGTTTTAATTTAGTAGGCACAGAAAATAGCCTTTAAAAAAGTCTTTAAGATAATATGGAAAACTGCTGTGGTCAGTCTGTCAAACAATAAAACCTCAGACTTCAGGACTTCAGACACAGACTTCAGGAACATATGTTAAGAATAAGTCTTTGAAGACTTCTGGTCAAGATGTCGGTGTAGGTAAATGTGGTATCAAGTCCTCCCACAACCACAGCAAAGTTACAACTAAACTACAGAACAACCATCATTCAAAACCGCCTGAAATCAAGCTGAATGGAAGTCCTACAACTACGGAATTAAAGCAGCAGCCACATCCAGACTGGTAGGAGGGACGGAGGCGGACGGGCTGGTCCCACACCCACATGTGGCGGATAAAAAACAGGAGGACACCTCGGCTGGGAAGGTCCTCCCTGAGGACTGAGGGGTCCCCGTCCCACACCAGATGCCCCGCTCAGGGTTCCAGAGCCAGGAAGAGAAGTCCCCATCACTTCTGGCTGGAAAAACCAGCGGGAACTGAGGCTCAGGGAGGCTGAGGCGGCTGGAGCCCCAGGCAGCTCCTTAAAGGGCCCGCGCACGGACTTATCGGACTCTCTCCCTCTAAGCTTGGAGGGGAGGCAGCTCCACGGGCGCCAGAGACATACAGGGAAGAACTGAGCTGTCTGGCATTGGAGCGAGGGCTGGAGAGGGGGCTTTTTCCGGGAAAGATGTACTGTCAGAGGCATTTTTTCCTTTGGTGAGCCCTTCCCTGGGGCGGCAGACAGCGCCATATCTGGGACTCCAGCAACCTGGCTCACACTGGTAGCCCAGCCCTGGTGACTCCCTGAGGCCCCGCCCCACCCAACTTTCAGGCCCACCCAACTTTCAGGCCCACCCAACTTTCAGGCCCACCCAAGCTTTTGCCAGTTGCTTATCCATAGGATTGGCCTGTCTTGGATCCTGCTTCAGGTTTTCCTAAATTCTTTCAAACAAGCAGCATCTGGTCTCAGCTAGCCCCATACCTCTTGTTAAATAATATATAGAAACAAACACAGGGAGGCAGCCAAAATGAGGAGACAAAGAAACAGGTCCCAAATGAAAGAACAGAACAAAACCCCAGGAAAAGAACTAAGCAAAATGGAGTTAAGCAAACTAACAGATGCTGAGTTCAAAATACTGCTTATAAAGATGCTCAATGTACTTAGTGAGAACCTCAGCGAACTTAGTGAGGGCCTCAAGAGCATAAAAAAAGGACCAGTCAGAAAAGAAGGAAGCATTAACTGAAATAAAGAATAAATTATACAGATTCAATAGTAGAGTAGGTAAAGCCAAGAAGCAAACCATTGATTTGGAATATAAGGAAGCAAAAAACACCCAATCAGAGCAGCAAAAAGAAAAAAGAATCCAAAACAATGAGGATAGTGTGAGGAGCCTCTGGGACAACTTCAAGCATGCCAACATTCGCATCTTGGGGGTGCCAGAAGGAGAAGAGCGAGAACAAGAAATCGAAAACCTATTTGAAACAATAATGGCAGAAAACTTCCCTAACTTGGTGAAGGAAACAGACATATAAGTCCAGGAAGCACAGAGAGTCCCAAACAAGATGAACCCCAAGAGGCCCACACCAAGACACATCATCATCAAAATGCAAAAGGTTCAAGACAAAGAGAAAAATCTTAAAAGCAGCAAGAGAAAAGCAGTTAGTTACCTACAAGGGAGTTCCCATTAGACTGTCAGCTGATTTCTCAAAAGAAACTTTGCAGGCCAGAAGAGAGTGGCAAGAAATATACAGAGTGATGAAATGCAAGAACCTATAACCAAGATTACTCTATCCTACAAAGTTGTCATTTAGAATCGATGGCCATATAAAGAGTTTCCCAAAGAAGAAAAAGTTAAAGGAGTTCATCACTACCAAACCATTATTATATGAAATGTTGAAGGGTCTTTTTGAAAAAAAAGATAAAATACATGAACAAAAAACATGGCAATGAATACATATCTATCGACAATGGAATCTACAAACAAAATGAACAGGCAGAACAGAAACAATCTCATAGATACAGAGACTATTTTGTTGGTTGCCAGATGGGAGGGGGGTTGGGGGAATGGGTGAAAAAGGTGAAGGAATTAAGAAGTACAAATTGGTTGCTAGACTGACAAACCTGAAAGGAAAGGGGGTTGGGGGATGGGAAGAAATAAGCCAAAGAACTTATATGCATAACCAATGGACACAGACAACAGTGTGGGAAAAGGCAGGAGGGGGGTGGGAATGTGGAGGAGGGGGTCAATGGGGGGAAAAACGAGGAACATCTGTAATACATTCAATAATAAAGATTAAAAAAAAGATTAAGTCTTTGAATAGAAAAGTTAAATTTTAACTATAAAATAAGAATTGGGGCCCTAGCCAGTTTGGCTCAGTGGTGGAGTGTCAGCCTGCGGACCCAGGAGTCGCAGGTTTGATTCCGGTCAAGGGCATGTACTTCTGTTGCTGTTCAGTCCCCAGCCCTGGTCGGGGTCATGTGGGAGGTGACTAATCAATGTGTCTCTCTCTCTCCCCCAACTCTATCTGAAGATAAAAATGGAAAAAAGTATCCTTGAGTGAGGATAAAAAAAAAAAGAATTGGGAAGATAAGTATTATAACTTTTCTCTGAAGCACAAACTTGAGCAGAGTCTTGTGATGGCTCCACTACTGAGATCTGCCTCTACAAGATCCTCTTATGTTTTCTATTTCTATTATTCTCTAAGATATTTTCATTAATAAAAATTACAATTCAAATTATTGCTACTTAAATCATTTTCAGTTATAAGCATAATAAAGAACACCATGGAAAATCACTTCTAGATTTAATTATTATATTAATGTTGGACTTGGGGGCAAAATGCCTTAAAATTTTCATATTGTTTAATTAAAACATCTTTCTATGGTCTTTTTTTTGCTTTGCTAGTCTTGTTTTGTAAGCTTCAATATTGTCATTGTTTTATCTACGGCTTTATCTATTTATCAGATCTCTAGCATTCTTTGGAAGCTGCTGCAGAGACAGATGAGTAGCTAGCTATTCTGTGCTGTTGAGTATTTAGACTGTTCAGATTTTTCACTGTTATGAGCAATGCTGCAATGAACAACCCTTTGCAGGTGTCCATGTGCCTATGTCTAAGTGTTTCTCTAAGCTAAAGGAAATTCCTGAAGTGGAATTTCTAAGTCACAGGGTATACAGTTTTTTTTGTTGTGTTTTGTTTTTTTTTATTTTAGTAGATAAGAGCACCTGTATCAATTTACCTTCCCAACAGCAGGATATGAAAGTTGATTTGTTTTTTCATATACTCACTTAATGTTGGTATTATCAGTTTCTAGTTTTTAACAATGTGGTGGTGAATTGTGCTATCTCGCTGTTTTCATTTACCCTCACTGACTACTAAGGTTGAATATCTTTTCATCAATTACTGGCCATTTGTAGGTCATTTTCATCACAACACCTATCAATGATCTCCTCAAGTTCTCTGACACAGAACTTTCACATACCAGTACATTTCTGAACTTATAACACCAGGAAACACCACTTCCCTAAATACTTAAGTTCTTCTTAAATATACCTGGCTAACAAAATCCTAAGAATGTACACTCACATTTCTCAAAGAAAGTGACTAAAGTACCTTCTGAGTAAATAATTTGAAACCATCCTTTGGAAAGACTTTTGTAATTACAGAAAAAGAACAGTTCTTGAATTTTAGAGTATAAGTCTAAAACTGGAATTTTTATCTCAATGGGTTATAAATTTACTGTAAAAAAAAAAAAAGAAACCATGTGTAAGTGATATTAGTGTTAAAATAAAGTCTGAGGTGTTCTGCCAAGTGAAATCAATATATCATATTCATGACACTAACATGATTTCCCAGGAAAGTTTTCACTTTAGAATAAATTCTGAGTGATTGGTTATGCTCTAAAATCTACATTGACTTATCCCGTTGCTATCAAAATTATATAATGACAAAACACTTCCTGATAGAGTAAGAAGCAAATGATAATTCACAGAGCTGAGATGACACAGTAGGAACAAATAGTTACAGCAAAAAAAGATGAAAATCGTGCTGATGAAATCTTATGGCACAGAACAACAACTGAGGAAATATGGATGCTACCTGGAAGAATGAAATGTTAAACTTGAATAAATTTATTTTATTTTATATTTTTAAAATTGCATCTTTCTCTTTTAACTGTCCCAGAGAAACAGAACATGATCTGTATTAGTAACAGTATAATATCCAGAACACAAACTGGACAGGAAGACCTGGAACAAGAACTTGTGCCTAAAGTGGATACACTGTCTTAATAGAAAGAAAAGACTACAATTAATGAAGCCAAGCAATCAATTTGAACTAACTGTATAACTCAAATGCCCCAAAATGTTTAAACAAGCTGGTAACCTATGAAGAAAGTATGAACTTCAGATATTTAAGTATTATCTTAAAATGCATTTTAGGTAGAAGTTTCCTAGTCCATGACTATTTACACTCAATTTTACAGCTGCTAAAAGAAAAAAAAAAAAAAAAAAACTAATCACACTACCTACAGGCTCTGGTAAGATTTTTCATTTAAAATTTTTCAGGTGGATTTTTCTAAATATATGATATCCAATTTCAAAGGTACTTTAGCATGTGAAATATTTCCTGAAATCGCTTTATTGATAGAAAACGTGCTTTAGAATAATCCTGTGGAGGACAAATATAAAGTCGGGTAAAGTATAGAAAACAACTACTTGAAGGCACCTGATAACTAACAAGACAGCAAGGAATTACCAGGCCCAGATCTAGGGCAGGACAGAGACCCAGGCAGGGTGTCTGCGGATTTCTGAGGGAAAAGCTGAGGCCCAGCACTGTGGACATCTTTGCTCTGGACTGAGACACCCAGGGGCTACACACCAGGCATAAGAAGTGCAGCCTCTGAAACCTTTGAATCATCTCAAACCCAGACAAGTGTCTTGAGATCTCTAATAGAGGCAAATGTGACTCTTTCAGAAGAAATACATTACCAAATTATTTCTACAAATGACTTTGCAAATACAATGCCCACATAGATAATCAAAACAATCAGGCATTCAAGGAGATACATGAATGAAAATGAGCAGAAACAAAAGACAATAGAAACAAACTCACAAGGATTCCAGATATTTGAATTATCAGACTTCAAGATAACTATGCTTATTGTGTTCTAAGAAACAAAAGGTAGAGAACTAAAAATGATTTTTAAAAATAAATTATTATTGCCCTGGCTGGTATGGCTCAACGGATAGAGCATCGGCCCACACACTGAAGGGTCATGGGTTCGATTCCCAGTCAAGGGCACATACCTGGCTTGCAGATTCAATCCCTGGCCCCAGTCAGGGCATGTGCAGGAGGCAACCAATGGATGGTGTCTATCTCACACTATGTTTCTCTCTCTCTCTTTTCCACCCCTCCCTTCCTTCCACTCTCTCTATATAAATGGAAAAAAAATCCTCAGGTGAGGATTAAAAATAAATAAATAAATAAAAATAATAAATTACTATGGGTATGAAAGATACTAACAACTCTTAAGTTCAGGTATTTTTATTAAAAATAAAGAATTTGTATCATACTTAATTATTTTTGTTTTTTAAATAATCAAACATCTTTCAATAATTATAATTACTATTTACTAAATGCTTATCATTTGCCTGGTCCTGCTGAGAAGTTTCATATATCTTTATCTCATTTACTCTGTGCAACATCCCCAAGACAAGTATTATTTTGTCAGTCCAGAAACTGGATATCAGAGAGGTTAAGTAATTTGATTAAGGTCAGCTGTTAAATAACCAAACTAGTATTCAAAACCCCATGCCTGTCTGATCCAAAGCCTACACTCTGAAGGACAGACCTAAAATAGAGATTCAAATTTCCCCTATGCAAATCAATGGGTCTCTTGATATACAAACTGGAAAATGCCAAAAGAACAAGGGGAAGTATCAGATTGAAAAATCTGGGACCAAACTTGCATACAGTAGATACTCCAAAAATGTTTGTTAATTTTCTGATGAGTCTAGGAATAATCATATAGTTTTTCAGTGATGTACTAAGACATATATTTTTAATCCCCAGATAGAGTTTTTGCTAAAACTACATCTCAATAAAGAATTTCTACAACTTTAAGATGTATCCCATTTACTAATTCATAACATTACTTCTTACGCTTTTATATGGATATATAAAATTTAAATAAGACTACACAACTAGCCCTGGCTGGTTAGGCTCAGCAATTAGAGTGTCAGTTGGCTCGAGGACCAAAGCATTTCAGGTTCAATTCCTAGCCAAGGGCATGCAGCTTGGTTGCAGGTTCGATCCCTGGCCCTGGTCAGGGTTGTGTGGAAGGCAACCAATCTATGTGTCTCTCTCATAGCAATGTTTCTTGCTGTCTCTCCCTCCCTCCCTCTCTTCCAACTTCCCTCCCTCCCACCCACTGTACTAAAAATCAATGGAAGAACATCCTCAGGTAAGGATAAAAAAAAAAAAGAGTACACAACTAGTTAATGACAGAGCGTAGGCTAGAACCAGGCCTTTTGACAACCAAGTCAGATTCTGATTATTACATCACACTGAAAATTATATATTATGTGCAGTAATATGTATGTTTAGGTCTACATATAAATACACATATAGCCCTGGCTGGTTTGGCTCAGCGGTTAGAGCATTGGCCTGCAGTCCGGGGAGACTCAGGTTCGGTTCCCGCTAAGGGCATGTACCTTGCTTGCAGTTTGTCCCCGGCCCTGGTTGGGTCGTGTGTGTGGCAACCACTCGATGTGTCCCTTTCACGTCAATGTTTCTCTCTCTCTCTCTCTCCCTCCCACTCTATCTGAACAAAATATCAAAAACTGTCCTTGGGTGAGGATAAATAAATAAATACACATACACACATATAGATATAAAATTTTCAACCTGGTGTAGTGTAGTACACCACATACATGTCCTCTTTTTCCACTACCTAGAGCACCAGCAGCAGCAAACAGCAAAAGGCCCCTTGAAGAAACATAAGAAGGCATAAACCAGGCATAAGTATTCTTCAATGAGGAGAGCTTTATCTGAACACACACTAAGTACACAGGCTGTAGTCAGTCCTCTGCTTAGTTCAGAAACAGAGTCCATTAAAAATAATTTACTTCGCCCTGGCCGGTTTGGCTCAGCGGTTAGAGCATCGACCTGCGGTCCAGAGAGACCCGGGTTCGGTTCCCGCTAAGGGCACGTACCTCGGTTGCAGTTTGTCCCCGGCCCTGGTCGGTCGAGCGGGTGGCAGCCACTCGATGTGTCCCTTTCACGTTGATGTTTCTCTCTCTCTCTGTTCCTCTCTCTCCCTCCCACTCTACCTGAACAAAAAATAGAAAAATGTCCTCGGGTGAGGATAAAAAAATAAAAAATAAAAAATAAAAATAATTTACTTCACAAACCTTGTGCACCAAGAAAGCACTCCTACCAAGACTGCAATACATAAGGAAGAAATAAGCCAATGTAGGCAAACCCTTATTCTTGTAGAACTAGATTCTGCTAGAGTAAATTTAAGTATCTCGTTTTTATAGACAATTAATAGAATATAATTTCTCCCCATTTACTGCACTGTAAAGTTTCAGCTCTAAAATGCCTATAGTTAACTGATTAAGCAAATTTGTTCATTTGACTCCTCTGGTGTGACAAGAAATTAGACAAAAATAAAAATGCAAAGATTCTATTTTAAACAAAACCATTGTGCCTGACACTGTAGGTACACTCCACGCATAAACAGATAGTAAAACAAAATGGAATAAAACTGCAAACTGAGTACATTATGAGTCTATAAATGGCCAATTCCTTCAACTCTCCTCCCACAAATAAATAAATGCTTTACATTAAACAAACTACTTTTTGACATCCTCTATGGGTACTATGCTAGGTATAGAGGACATTTAAATGTTAAAAAAAGAGCCCAGCCAGTGTGGCTCAAGAGGTCACAGGTTCAATTCCCAGTCACGGCATATGCCCAGGTTGCAGGCTGGATACCCAGTAGGGGACGTGCAGGAGGCAGCCAATTAATGTTTCTCCCCCTCTCTCTCTCCCTCTCCCTTCCTCTAAAAATCAATAAAAATATATTTATAAATAAATAAATAATGAATGTTAAAAAAGACACTTGGCACAAACTAGAATGAAGACCAGGACATGAAGGCTGCACAAACAACCAAGCATACCTCCTGACGCTCTGGGTGCCCCGAGCACTACAGACAGCATCTCTTCCGTGCTTCCTTTTCAGTCTTCACAACGAGCCAGCAAGTTAAATACTCTGTTTCTTAGGTTTATGAAAAAAACTGAGGCTTTGAGCCACAAACTGAATATTTGTGTCCCGCCTCCCAAATTCATATGTTGAAACCTAAGGTCTAATGTGATGGTATATGGTATTAGGAGGTGATTAGGTCCTAAGGGCAGAGCCTTCATGAATGGGATGGTTTTCTTATAAAAGAGACCTGGAGAGCCCACATAGGGAATCACCAGCAAGAAGTTCCAGCCTGGGGGTCGCACAGAGAACCCCCCAGTGGGGCGGGCCCAGCCACAGCACCACCATGGGGACAGGGCCACCCGGACTCCTGGGAACCTAAATCATTACAAGAAAAGCTATGGGCCTGGCTGGTGTGGCTAGTGGTTGAGTGTCGACCCATGCACCAACAGGTCGCCAGTTTAAGGTTTTAAATTTACTGAAGAGCAATTTGAGAACAATAGGGCGCAATCTGCTTCAGAATGACTCATATCTTGAGTGTCACCCATATCTTATTTAGATATTTAAATAACTTTTGTAATTATAAAGTTAAACAAATTATACCAAGTGTCCAAGTCAAAACTAACAAATGTAAGGATTGCACCTTTAAAAGAATGTCACCCACATAAACTTAAAGTTGAAATATATAAAATTCACCTCTCAAGTTACCATGCACATCTGTCTTCATTGCATTTAGTGATAGAGCAAGGAAAACAGGAATTTAATTTTAAATCAGGCTGTCTATGTATGGCATTCACCTTTACCAAAACTCCAATATATTGGAGTAATTTTAGTAGTTTATAATAAAAACACTGAAATTGATTGAATAATGCCATCTTATCTAAAGCACTGAAACAGGAGGGAAATAAAAAATATATTACCTGCAGTAATCTCCTTGCTTAGCAACCTTGGCCAGGGAGAAAATGCAGTCAACAGTTGCTAGGTGATGTACTGCTTTACACAAGGAGTGATAATGTTCACTGAAATTCCTACAGAAGCAACAACAAAAAGGTGAGCAAAAATGATTTCTAAGACTTATAAGCTGAAACAAAATAATCAGTCATAATTAGCTGTTAAGAGACATGTAACTACTTACCTGTTTAACAATTTAATTACTGAGGCTTCTTTTTGTTTCTTTGGATAGAATTGTATATACTTAAAACAGCTTCTATACAAAAATGTCTACTATTAATACCATAATGCACATTTCATCTCACCATGACGTTACAACTTAGATATAATTAACACACAGGCAGCGATCATTTTCATTTGGCTTCAATAACATCATGCACTACCCAGATGAGTCAGCTTCCCTTTGTGCTTCTCCTTCATAGCATCATCCAAACTAGGAATAATGGTTCCAGTGTCTTTCTCTCACACTGAATTGGAAGCTTCTCCATGGTGGAGTTCATGTCCATCTTATTTACCTTTCATTATAGCTATAGCCCTAACATCTAGCCCACACCTTTGTCAAAATCTTGAAGGCAAGTAAGAACTTTTTTCAATGACCTACAGTTACTGTATTAATAGTACATACAGAAATTTACTTTCAGATTATTTTGTTCCATTGATTTTCAGATAGAGTGAAAGGAAGAGAGAGAAAGAAATATCAATATGAGAGAGACACACTGATTGCCTCCCACATGACCTCAGCTGGGGCCAGGGCTGGATCCTGCACCCCAGGTACATGCCCTTGACCGGGAATTGAACTGGGGACCCTTCAGTCCATGGGCCAGCACTCTAAATGCTGAGCCAAACCAGCCAGGACTCCAATTTCCTTTTAAAAGATAATGGTCATTCCCAGAGAATGGAAGTAGGGATCAGTCTGACAATCCTCAGAGGAAAGGGGGAGACGGGGTAAATCAAAAAACTTATGTGCATATATGTAGAACCAATAGACACAGACAACACTGTGAAAGTGGAGGGGGAGAGAAGGGTATCAATGGGTGAAAAGAAGAAACATCTGTAACAAAAAGTAATTAAATAATAATAAATAAATAACATAAAAGATAATGGTCACTGCTTCAACTCTTTGCCTAATTAAACGGCCAATGGTCTGTAGTTTAAAGGACTCTTTATTAAAAGACTTATTCAGAAAAAATACTGGAATGTCTATAAGTGTGTTCTCTCTCTGACTTAAATGACCCTGTTATCTCATAGCACAGATCTCCCTTACATACTTTCAAACAAAAACTCCCCAAAAGAGATAGCGTATCATGCTGAATGTTTCTCTTAAAATGTACTATTGTACTATAGGTTTCAGAAATTTTGAGATTTAGACTCCTTAAAAGCAAAGGTTTTAGAGTGCTTTCTAGCTTGAAGACTATCCAGATTAAGCTGTTACGTGACCAGTTATTCTTATATTATCACTGTACTGATTTTTTAGAATCTGACTTTTCTTGTAATATTAGAATAAAGTGTTCTATGTGAATGACTTTTTCAGATACTAAAAACATTTTAAGTATCCAGTTTTATTTTTGTGTTAACCATTTGTAAATTTAAAAGTATATTACAGTAGCCCTGGCCGTTTTGGGTCAGTGGTTAGAGCGTCAGCCCACAGATCAAAGGGTCTCGGGTTCAATTCCAGTCAAGGGCACATGCCTTGGTTGCAGGTTCAATCCCTGGCCCCGGTCAGGGTCCTGTGGGCGGCAACCAGTCGATGTGTCTCTCTCATACTGATGTTTCTCCTTCTCTCTCCCCTTTCCCTCCCTTCCACTCTCTCTAAAAATCATTGGAAAAATATCCTCACCCTGGCCAGTTTGGCTCAGTGGTAGAGCGTTGGCCTGCGGATCAATGAGTCAAGGGTTCAATTCCAGCCAAGAGCAAGTACCTCGGTTGCAGTTCATCCCCGGCCCTGGTTGGGGTCATGCGGGAGGCAACCAGTGGATGTGTCCTTCTCATGTGGATGTTTCTCTTTCTCTCCCTCTCACTCTTTCTGAAGATAAATAGAAAAATATCCTCGGGTAAAGATTAAAAAAAAAAAAAAAAGGAGAAAAATATCCTCAGGTGAGGATTAACAACAACAACAACAAAAATAAGTGTATTGCAGTATATTTTATATGTTCTGTATACAGAACACATAATGAATATAATTTACCTATTTCTCACTGACTTAAAGTTCATCAAAACAAACAACATGAATCCCACTAACAGTGTTAAAAGTTTGTGCGAAATCCCAAACACAAAGGAGACAGGCAGCATTCAGGTGCCACCTTAAAAAGCCTCTTAGTGTGGAAGGTGCCACATGCATCCTTCCTGGTCTGGTGTCAATTTTCGATCTGATCACCCATCTATCCCTTGGGCTATGCCCATTCTGCCCCTGTTTTAATTACTGACCCATCTGGTCTTCCTAGCCTGGCACTGTCTCTTTTGCCAGAGAACAGCCACACATGATATTTCTGCTCTTGCCTCTCTGAATATGAATGTCAAGGGGCCTTTGGCACATGAAAACAGTCTGTTTTTTCTTACTCTTACTCCATCCTTCTCAGGTCTTGCCTCCACAACCCTAACTTGCTACTACACAGCAGCCTTAGGGGAGGGTAACTGTACCTGATGACTTTTTAAATTTCCAGAATTGAAATGGGTGACATAGTTCTTGGTGGAGACCATTTCAGTTAAAAAATACTAATAAAAAAGGCAGGGAGTGCCCTGGCTGGTTTGGCTCAGTGGTTAGAGAGAGAGTCCCAGGTTCAGTTCCCGCTAAGGGCGGGTACCTCAGTGGCAGTTTGTCCCCGGCCCCATGGGATTGTGTGGGTGGCAGCCAGTCAATGTGTCTCTCTCACATCGATATTTCTCTCTTCCTCCCTCTCTCCTTCCTGCTCTATCTGAAGATAAATGCAAAAAATGTCCTCGGGTGAGGATAAAAAAAAAAAGGCAGGGAGGGATAAGGTAATTACTTTGATATGGACAACAATGTTCTTTTTCACATAAATTATATTAGGACATGAATAAAATAAACCTTAAACAACATCATCATAACTCATAAAGCCTTGTTTGATTTCTTGGTCTTTATCCATCTTCTATACTTTGCCAACTTTCAAAGACATTATTCATACATAGAAAAACGACAAACTGAAAACTGGGCAATTCAGATAATCTGATAGTCTGGGTTTATGTCACAACAACATGCAACTAAGCCACCAGCCCACTGGAGGAGGAAGCCAAAGCTTTATAATTGAATCTCTGGTCAGAAGACACTGCTGGATCCATGGGAAGCAGATTAAGATACTTGAGTTCTAAAGTTGTTATGACAATTTACCATCAGTGTTGCTCAATGATATCTAAAGTTCATAAAAATTGAAAGTATTTATTTGAGCTACTGTATGAAATATATAATAATTCAATTTTTAAAGAATATGCAATCGAGATTATTCAATATCCAAACCCATCTTCTAGAACACAGAAAAAGAGACATTTTTTGAAAGAAGGTTCCATTCATAGAATTTTTTACAGCCTTGGTTTCTTACAATACTTTGATCAATATTAATATGACTGATGCACAACAGTATCTCAGTAAGAGATAAATATACTTGGAATAACTCGTATTCCATCCTCTGATGTCAGGTTCACTGAGGTTAATACTTTTTAAATGACATCATACTCACACCATCTGGCTCCTCAGTTCATAGAGTACATAACAACCAATGCTGTTCTCAAGCAGGGGCTCTAGCTGCAAATGCTCTTAACTCAATTTTAGCCAGTATTATTTTTTAGATAAAAACTTTAACATATTTTTCTTATTTTGAAAGTAATAGATGTATATTATATAAATTTCTGAAATCGTGTATTTGCAAAGTAAATTAGTATCTCCAGAAATTTTCCCATTCAGAAATAATCAGTTAATACTTGAGACTATATATATATGAATAGACATTTCTCCAAAGAATATAAGCAAATAGACAATAAGCATAATAACATACGATCTATATTTGACTTTAAAAATATAAAGATTTGTATGCTGTGCATGTATGTGAATTTACACGACAGAACTGCATCATGCTCAATACTGCTGAGCATCCTTCTCACAAGTCTCATAATCTCCTGCTCTGTCACATTTAATGTTGGCTCACTCTTAAAACCTCCCAGCTACATCGGATGGTGACATAATGAAAGCAGAATTCCCCTGAGTTAATTTGACAGAAGGGCCCGGGCAGAGGGCTGATTACAGTAAGATAAGTATAAGGAAATGGAGTGATAGAAGAGAGCGGGAGAAGAAGGGGCCAAAGAGCTATTTCAAAGGGAAAAAAGACAAACAGAAATTTGATAACAGACAAAGGGACAAGGAAGAAAGAATCAAGGAGAATACCCAAGTTTTTAGCCTGCAAGACTCAACTTTCTTTAGTCTAAAATAATGACAGGGAGAACATACCCCAGATTTATAAAATCATGTATTCTGTGACTAGAAGGAATGTGAATTGCCTCACCAAATCCCAGAACCCTGGAACGTGAACCCTGAAGCTTGAAAGAAGTAATTTTAGTGCAATTTTCATGTTCTCAGTGATACTACTAAGGGGAAAGCCAGGAGAACTGAGACTCAAGGGCCCTAAAAACCCCTAAAATGGGATATTGAAAGCAAATTGAGAAAAGAACTGAATAAACCAAATTTCCATCCCTGGATTCAAGACTGAATTGAGATAACCTCAAAAGACTCAGGATAAGTACATTAGAATCTCTTCCAGCTCCTATAATTGAAGACTCCTCTGGGCAAAAAGAGATACCAACCTTTAAAAAACTGTCACATAATATCTTTTTTGTTCTTTTTTCTTTCACTTGTCAGATTGGTTACTTAAAATATATAAAGCTTCCTGAAGGAACTCACTGAATATTTACTGTTCACGTTTTTAAAGAGAAAGACCAACAGAGAGATTTTCGCTTAGAGAGATGCCTACAGCTTCATCTTGGGCAGGCCTGACAGCCTGAGGGCAGGACACACACCCTATTATCAGACACCTTGGGTTGAATCTGGGCTCCAGTCCTTAACCTATGAGCAACTTCTTATTTCTCCATCTCATTTCATTCATTTATAAATTGGGGATGATAATAATAGTTAATTCATAGGGCTCTTGCAAGGAATAATGAACTAGTATGTATTAAAGTGCTTAGATGAGGAGTGGTTTGGAGCCAGTGCCTACGGACTGGTGAAAGTCACTGTGCACATCTCTTCACAAATCCTGTCCAACAGCAGCTTGAATCAGTCATGGTGAAAGTATTTGCACCACAGAAATCTGCAAACACCACAAAGACCGCTGCTCTTCCGGAGAGCTGACTGTTAATCATCTTCCAGCACACCACTGATGTAAACGTGTCAATATGAACACATGACTATTAATAAATCCAGAACATGAGACATTCTTTAAGACAACAGCAAGTACTCTTCAAAAAAATCTCAGATTCATAAAACAAAAAGGTGGGGAACTAATCTAGATTCAAACAGACCAAGAAGATAAAATAACCAAATGTAATGCATAAAAGTTGATTAGATCTTTCATTTAAAAAATTGAGGGAGATAATTCAATATACTCTTAAATTGATATTAATTTTTCTTAGGTGTGATAAGATTATATAGCAGAATGTCCTTATTTTTTAAAAAATGTATACTTAAGTATTTAGGAGTGAAGTGTTATGATGCCTAAAACTTACTTTCAAATGTTTCGGAGGAAAAAAGTGTATGAAAGAGATATAAAACAAATATGGCAGTATGTTAACACGATAAATCTAGGTGAAGGGCACATAGGTATTCATTTCAACTTTCCCACAGATTGAAATTTTTTCTAAATAAAAAGTTAGGGAGAAAACAAAACAACTAACGCATACTTGTCCAACTCTGAAAATGTTAAGCCTTTATATAAGACAAGCAAAGTCCAAGGTAGAACTTCAAAAAGATGCTTCTACTAAACATCCTTAGCAACAAAATGTTAGTAAAGTAACAATAAAGTACAGCTGGTCTCTCAACAAAGACTAACATGAGCTTACATTTCAATGGATTAAAAATAAAACCAGAGAACACACACACTCAACTATTTTATGGCAGGTCACAAGCAGTAATCCCTACTTTTCTTTTGTGTGGAAAGATTTTCCGGTCTATTTCTCATAGCAAAAAGTCAGATTATATTTTCCATTGTAAACTCACTCTAGAAAATCAAGCCATTCAGCATTGCAGTCAAGGACTAGCTGCTCCCGGAGCTGATTCAGATGTCTGTAATTTTCTACAATAAAAGGAGAGTGGAAGCGGCTCACAGCTTTTGTGCTAGAAGAGGGGGAAACAGGAAATCAAGGTTACTAAGAAATCAGCAATGCCATCTCTTCATAAAATTAAAAGTAGGTATTTATTATTCTCTGATGAACCTTGAAAGTAAACAGCTGTAAACAGAGAATATTCTTTAATTGTGGCCCTGAACTCTATTGCTTCCAAAGATCTTTGTTGTAAATAAAGTACTTGCAGTTTATAGAACTTTGTTCGGGAAGCTTTTAAAATGCATTTCAAATTATATCCATATGGCAAAGGCAAAGTTTAGAATTTTCATTTCAAAAGCAGAAAGCTTTTTCTTTATACTAAATAAAAACGCTTGCTTTAAAAATAAGATCAGAAGCAGATATAGCAAAATAAGTCCTGACAAAGCTGGGAGGTGAATACATTGGTGAAGGCCATACTATTCTTTATATTTTATACATTTTTTTTGTATCATTAAAGCATTTCAGTGAAAAGGGAAAAATATAAAGCATTATAAAGAATAGCAATGCAGCCCTGGCCGGCTTGGCTCGGCAGTTAGAGTGTCGGCCTGCAGTCCAGAGAGACCCGGGTTCAGTTCCCGCTAAGGGCATGTACTCGGTTGCAGTTTGTCCCTGGCCCTGGTTGGGTCATGCGGAAGGCAGCCACTCGATGTGTCCCTTTCACATCAATGTTTCTCTCTCCCACTCTCTTCCTCTCTCTCCCTCCCACTCTATCTGAACAAAAAATGGAAAAATGTCCTCGAGTGAGGATAAAAAAAAAATAGTAATGCATTAATTCAGGAAGAAAAGAGGAGTTCTTCATAATCTAACTGTAGATCCACAATGACTCTGGATGAAAAGAAATACCATGTGCTCCTCCTCCCAACGTGTGCATAATCTCTGCTTCTTCATCAAGTAGCTGTAGAACACATTAGGGGTGCCATGGGTCCCAGTCAGAGAATCTGGGCCAAGGCCCCAACTCTGCCACTTACTTGCTAGCTACATGGTTTGGGGCAAGTATAACTGACCTCTAAACATCACTTTCCTCATCTATAAAATGGGCGTATCAATAGCATCTACCTCATAGGTACTGTCAAGAGGATCAAACAGGTAGTGGTTAACAGTTCCTCTGTCATTAGTACTCAATGTTAGGACTTACTCTGTGGTGGTGGTGGCAGTTGTTACTGCTGGAGATGTTATTACTATGATCAGAACTTCAAGAAGAAAAGGTCAGGGTTGAGTGATAAGCAGGTGATGAGAGTGTACTCTGACCTTTGTCTGTTCCCCACTCCCTTAATACACTGTCACTATTATCTTTAGTGTGGTAAGTTACTGGACTAGGGGTAACCCTTTCACATTAAAATCTGACTGATTATATTCTAACCTATCCCTGTCTGGACTCCAGCCAGCCAAACAACAGATAAATTATAATGAACATTCCCCAAACCATCTTATTCATTCATTCAATTTACGTCACTAACTATTCAAAAGATGCTGGCACTGATTCATGCTTTGCCAGTTGCTTTTAAATTATGGCATCTAGATTTCTATGCAAGCAAACTTATCATAGCTTTCTCTCCTGACCACTCAGTTAGTGAGACATTTCAGTTATTGTTCTACACAGACTAACATGATTTTTAGTAATTTCTCTTCATAAAGCACATTTCCATTCATTAGCTGTAGTACAGGACAAAAGTAAATAAAGGAACAAATGCTTGCAAAAAGAAAACAACATTCCCTAAAATCAACAATATTCAAATCTCAATTACAGTTTCTGGTAACATAGAAAGTAAAAAGGACAGTATAAAGAGATAAAGAAACCCATGATTGTGTCTTCAGCATCCTTTGACAGTGGCAATGGATAATAGTTTTTTAAATTAAAATAATAAATGAATAATCATTCACACATCATGCCAAGGCTGTGTTCCATTCTTATCATAGTCACTTCATACCATCACCAGCTATAGTCACCGTTCTACTATCTAAGGGCAAATGTAGCATTTTCATCTCAAATTCATGGAAGCATATTAGTAACAGTAGCAATAAATATTCCACAAAGGATACTACTCAGAGGAGGATACACTTCTCTGATAGCACTCCTTTGAATAAGTCCCCTTTTAGGGATTAATGCCTAACCAAGGAAAAAAGGCAGTCTCAGTGTAGCCCTCTAATTTTGTTTTTGATTAATTTATTTTCATCAGTTCATGATATAACTCACAGGAAAGATGTAATGAACTATTACAACCATGTGCCATGGAAGCACTGAGAATAAAGAAATGCAGAGCTCAGTGAAGCAGAAAATGAAATTTCAGTTTCCTAAAAGAAATGTCAGGTACAGCATTCATCAAGAAGTTCAAGCAACCAAATTAATCTTATAATTGAAGGTTCCTCAACTTTTTTCTCTCATATGTTTAAATGTTACTCTGAGGTATAAAAATAAAACAGTAATTTATAAAACAAAAAAATAAATGTTTACAAATAAAATACCCTTTAGAAAAAATGTTTAAAAATTAATGATAAAAATAATAAAATATAATTTTTCTTTGGTTAAAGTTCCATTTTTAAAAAAGTAACAAAGAGTAAGAATTGCTTTTTATGTCAAAGATGTGGTTGTTGCCTCGCTGGTGTGGCTCAGTGGTTGAGCATCAACTCTGAACCAAGAGGTCGCCAGATCAATTCCTGGTCAGGGCACATGCCCAGGTTGTGGGCCCGATCCCCAGTGGGGGGCATGCAGGAGGCGGTCAATAGATGTTCTCTCTCATCGATGTTTCTATCTCTCTCTCCCTCTCCCTTCCTCTCTTTCTAAAAGCAATAAAGAAAAAAAAAATTAAAAAATAAAAGATGTGGTTATAATCAGTCAGTAGTACACAGCTGTACAAATATCATTATAATTCATGATAATTTAAAAATATATATTTTTAAACCTACCTCCCAACCTTAATCCAATCAGTTGGTATGCAAGATACGGCAGAGTTCTTTATTTCAATCATAAACTAAAATAAATATAAATAAAAACTTAGATGTTCATGTGATTAACCATTATATTGTAAAGCTTCCTAAAAATTATGCTAAATATTAATTATAAATAATAAACATTACAGTCAAAATAAATCCAGTATTGTTCTTGGAAGAGTTTATATGCCTATACAATCAAATATTATTAATTGGGGTTCCAATACTTGGGATAAAGAACAATCTGTATTGAGCAGTAAGTTTGTAATGAAGGAGATAATTTGATACTTTAACTTTGTAACATTGTTTTTCACATACTACAAATGGTGATTTTTTCATTAGTAATTTATTTCATTTATTTGTACCCAGTTATATTAAGCATTCTATTATTTAGTAATAAGACTGAATTTCTAAGTACATAAAATTTTTACATGTTCAATTATTAGATGTTATACAAGTTTGAGATATGGTCCATCCCCTATTCTGAACACAAAGAGGATTTATTTTTTGTTAATTCTCACCCGATGATATTTTTCCATTGATTTTTATTTTCAGATAGAGTGGAAGGGAAGGGTGGGAGGGGGAGAAAGAGAGAGGGAGAGAGAGACAGAAACAGTGATGCTAGAGAGACACATCAATTGGTTGCCTCCTGCACGACCCCGACGGGCTGGGGATCAAACCTGTAACCCAAGTACTTGCCCTTGACTGGGAATTGAACCTGCAACCCTTCAGTCCATGGGCCAGCGCTCTAACAACTGAGCGAACCCAGCCAGGGCTATTATAATAGTTTTTATCCATGGAACCTAAGTCCTTTAAAAGTGTCCTCATGAAGAAAGCACTGGCTCCCCCAACTATTAAGGTATTTCTTCCCATGGGTTTCTAAGTTTTCGCTTTATGAACCATCTCTTTATATTGTGCTCTACAAGGCAGCTTTTCTCAAATCAGCCAGGGAGCAAGTGAAACAAGTTCTTCCCTCACACTTTTCATTTTTAGCATTTGCTATATATCACTCATCTTCTTGCTCACATCCCTGTATCATTTCAATGAAATTCAATGTTTTATTCAAATAAATAAACTTATCTTGTACAGGATGGAACCCAGAAGCTCTGTGGCCACCACTAATTTTGAGAAGGCTATAGGAACATTTTTTACACTAATCAGTTTTGTAACATTTTAGGTTGTAATATGCTTATTATTAATAGTATCAGCCTGGCTCTCGAGTTTACTTTTCTATTAATAGAAACACTGTAGCTTTTACATTAATTATAATAGGAATTAATAATTAATTTTAAGAATTTTCATTCTTAGCAAACATTTTGTAACTAATGATATCCTCTTGTACAAAGAGAAATTAACTATTTCAAACCTGCCACACCCAGTTAAATAGTTAAGTGTCCAAAAAAGTCCATTTGGCTACAAAAAGTGATGGAAAAAACACAATAAATATCATGGATGGGAAAGATAAAATCACTTTAAGACTATGCTAAAAATTCTGATTAAATATTATTTTTAAATGTTTTATGAAAAGATATATTGGTCTTTTGATAAAATAATTCTGAAAAGAGCTATCTATGCCAAAGGCAAATCAAGAAATGTGGGAACATATTGGATCACTAACATTTGGGAAGGACACATCTAGATCAAAATGACTAACACAGAGCTCCACTAAGGTGACTAAGGGATGGTGGAAATTTTGAGAAGCCCAAACTGCCTCAATGAGGTCACTGGGCAGCCAGCTAGGCTGGTTTACTTAAGTACATAATTTGAAATAATTTGCCATGACAGCGCTGGATTCAAACCTGTATCTTATACACATTACAAACCACTACTGGTCACGGCCCTTTGGAGCAGCTTATAAACAGTTTGGAGCATAACCCTTCAATCTGTAAGCATCAGGGGTCTACCCTAAGGAGCACAGCCCCTCAAGCAAGCCACGTGCAGAACCAATACAGATGGAAGACAGAGCAGGTGTCAGGAGAGCCCCTGGGCCACTTCTTCAGTAGGTGCTGATCCTCTGTTTCCTCTTTTTTCCTTCAGTGGCCCTAGGTTTTCAGCCTGTGTTTCTCAGAATTGTCTCAACTAGCAGTTTTTTCCTCTTCTACGCTGGTTACGGAAGAGGAAATTCTCTGTTGCCTTCTGCAAACATTCTAAGAACAGGCAGAGAGGCGTTTTGTTGAAAGATTTCATTGCTAAAGAAAAGAAAACCAACTGAAATGGAAGTTAACATATATTTCAAAAATCTTACATGGTTCTCACAGCAACTCTCCCTGCTCTCTAGTTCCTGACTCTGTTTCTTAGGTGTTGATGTGAGAAGACTTGCTTGATTTGTTCTAGCAATCTTTCATGTGCTTCTCCTGGATCCAATTCTGTCTTGGTTAAATGTCAGATACTGTTACTCAAGCTATAGCCTGTGGCATCACTGGGCTGGCGTCCTTGCTAAGTTTGCTGAAATTCTTAACTCACCCAGAAACCGCTCTCTGTTTTCCCCAATACCAGACTCACTCCATCCTCTGCCCCTTTCTTTTTCATTCTCTTAAGAATTTTCAACTTTTTTTTTTTAATGTAGAAGATTTAACAGAGAATGCTCTCCACACCTTAAACACACAGCAGATATTTGGATATGCAGCATGCTGTGAATTAATACAATTTTTCTAAAGATTTTCTACCAAATTTCTTTTCTTTTCCTTAAGAACAACATCACCTATCAATACTTCCCCAAATCTAAATATCACCCCAGATCCATTCCATGTTTAATCTAAGGTTAAGAGAGAATTCTCTGTATACATAAAATATGACAGAGACCATCACAGAAGCAGTGAACTATGTCAAGCTGGGTAAGTTTTTGCTTTCATTATTTCCTCATAAACAAATACTTTTAGAGTCAGAGATAATAAGGCACCATAGTCAATAAGGCTTAGGATTCTAATACATATATAAAAACTGGGAACAGCCCTGGCCGGTTTGACTCAGCAGTTAGAGCATCGGCCCACAGACCAAAGAATGATGGGTTCGATTCCAGTCAAGAGCACGTACGTCGGTTGTGGTTCAGTCCCCAGCCCTGGTCGGGATCGTGCAAAAGGCAACCAATTGATGTGTCTCTCTCACATCAATGTTTTTCTCTCTCTCTCCCTCTCCCTCCTACTCTATCTGAAGAGAAATGGAAAACTACCCTCAGGAGAGAGCTTGGGAGTGGGGGGCGCAAAAAAAGGGGAACAGAGGTGAAATGAATGTTGTCAAAAGTAACCCTGGCTTGCCCTGACTGGTGTGGCTCAATGGTTACAGAGTGTCAGCCTATGTACTGAAGGGTCACAGGTTCGATTCATGTACCTGGATTGCAGGCTCCATCCCCGGCCCCAATTGGGGCGTATGCAGGAAGCAACCAATCAATGTGTCTCTCTCACATGATCACATCAATATTGCTCTCTCTCTCTCTCCTTTCCACTTTCTCTAAAAATCAATGGAAAAAATATCCTTGGGTGAGGATTAGCAACAACAACAAAAAGTAACCCTGGCTTGACAGTCTGTCTACTTGTCTGTTTTAAGTGATAACAACAATATCCATGCATTATTTTGTACTATTAAAATTCTAGAGGAGGTTTTTAAAAACCAGTGGGACTCCATCCTATTGTTAGTAACTAAGAAATGTCTTGCCTCAAATGCACCTTAACCTAGTAAAGGTTAAGTAGAGAATAAGATAATGTATCTCCCTCCCTAATCATCTGTAATTCAATTATTTCATCTCCATGTTTTGTCTTAAACTTCAATGCTCCACTGATAGAGAATAACTCATTTAGTATCCTTCATGTTTACTTAGAAACTGACAATCGAATCCAGGACTGTCTCCTCAAGATTTAAACTTCATTTTAGTATGAATCGTATGACCTCTAAAATGTCCGTATTTTATCAAATAAAATCCTTGATGTTTATAATCCCTTATGTTAATACCTGTGACTGAAATAATGACATGGTAGAAAGACTAGAGTCAGGCAGAATGGGATGGAATAGGGTTTCTGACTTGGGTAACTCACCTACCTACTCGTTTCCTTTCCAGCAAAATTGGAGTAACCCCTCGTTATGTTGTTACAAAGATTAAATTAGATAAAATATGTGAAGTGCTGAGCACTGTTCTAGACTTGAACAAGTTCTTGATAAATGATAACTGTATTACTATTGTTATCATCATTATATGAGTAACATTTGTGTAGTGCTTTATGGTTAGAAAACACATTCGTGTACTTTGACAGTCAGTCTTCATGGCAGTCCCGTGACAAAGGTCACGCAGCACCCGAGTGCAAGAACTCAGCTCTCTGCACTGTAAACCCAGACCATCACTTTTCGACCACGTATCTTTTATTAATTAATGTTACTAAGCAGCTTTGATCGTCTCATTCAATAAATAGCAAGAATAGTGACACTAAGGTCACTTGCCACTTTGCAAGGTCATGACTGCATGGTGAAACCAAGAAATACAATTAAATATTTGATATCTGCCTGTTCAGGGGGGGAAGCAAAATATAATTACTGTCAAATAAGTTTTCTGTTATATAGAACTTCATGTGGAAAGCACTGTAGAATGTTTGCCTGGATGTAACATCTTAAAATTTTAGCCCAGAAAACAGGCTGACTTAATGTCTATTAAATGGCCTAAGAACAATAAATATTTTAATAAAGATTATAATTTACTACAGACTTTCTTATTTCAAATAATCATATAAATCAACAATTTCCCCCCCTAGGGGGGAAAAAATCTATTTTAAAATCTGGAATAAAATGTATATTTGATAAAAATTATTCACAAATATTCTAATTTGCTATTTCAACAAAGCAGAATTTCTCACATTCCTCTGTTAGATGGTTTATCTTTTATTAAACATAGGATCCAGAAGAGGCATGCCTCAAGACTCAGAACAGAACCAAAAGGTACAACCACACTTAAAAAGCACAGTTTTCCCAGGTTCTCGTTCAGAATCAATATCAAACTTTAAACAGAAGTATATATACCAAAAACACATTCTAAACATCACCATAATCCCATGGAAGGAGACTCACTAATTTAGGTTGTCACTATAGTTTTGCTTTTCGTTTTTTAAAACCTATACTCCTAACTTTAGAAGGAAGCCCTGCCATTTGATCACTGTGTGATCCAATCAATGCAGGTGGTTCACTTGGTATCATTTCATCATCTGCAAGAAAGGGACTTCTCTCTCCTGGATTTAGGATAAATAAATTCTATAAGTTACTATTTACAATAGTCAAGGTTTTTTATCATTTCAACAGATAATATTAAAACACGTGTAACATTAAGTTGCATGGTTTTCCAAGTTTATTCACTATCGTAAATAAACAAAATACATATTAAAATAATTCTTATCAAAACAAGGTATTACAACGTATTTCTAAGGAACAAAATAGAAAATCTGAACAAAATGTTTTCATCCTATTCTCATATATTATTTACATTTTAAAACAGCTTTTTTTACTAAGGAAAACTAATGCAAATAAAAGTATTTCTGATATTACCTCCTGTCCTGATACTGTCACATATTGTACAGAAGGGTTTTTCAGTATTTTTCGTATTTCTTGCAAATGTATTTGGATCTCGTCAGTAATTCCTTGAATTTCATCCTTCCTCTTTTTTATTAAAGGGAAATCAGAAAGGTCTTTGAATAATTCAGTTTTATCCCCAATTCTAAAAAAAAAAAATGTAAATATAAACATTAAAGCATATAACTTATACCAGTTATCAATTATTTTTCACAGCATGATGAAAACCCAAAGGGTTGGAAGTCTGGAAAACTGTCACTAAATATTTATGGTAAGTTTCTTAATTTCTTTGAAGACAGACAAAATTACCCTAACATCATTTACATTTTAAAAATTCATGATTCCAATGATAAAAGCAAAAGATAAATTAAATATTCTTTTGCCTATTCAAAAAATAAACACAAACATAAATACTGTCAAACCCTCTTTCTTTTATATAGAGTTCTTTGTGGGTTGAACTGTAAACTGACTGCTTATTAAAGGATAACTCTGCTTCTGTAGTTTCTAAATATAAGGCAGACCATCCCTGGATTTCTAGCAAATGAGTACAAGATGCCCTCTGACACCACTTTTGGGTTAATAACCTGCTACTACTTGCTCTGTCTGGATTTTCTATTTTCATCATCTGATACCTGAGTATTACATCTGTCCTAGATGATAAACTGGCTAACTTTCAGACAACGAAGTGTTACTTCTAGCTGTAATATAGAGCCTTCGGTATCCAATCACAATTCCAATTTCACATGCAACTTCTTCCATTAATTTTAGTGAAGCTTATGAATCCACACATCAAATGGCAAATGCATTAGGACAAGCAAATTAAACTTCCACTGCTAGAAAGGAAGAACTAAGAGTCTGCTACTTACTTGGCAGCTTGTTCATTAAGTATCTTTAAGTAATGCTCCACTGGACTGAGGAGTTCAGGAATTTCTAAAATAAATGTCTGGAGCAGGTCTGACTGAACGTGGGAATTAACAGCAGGTATTAAAGCTTGAAATTCTGACTTCAGGTGATAAAGGGCTTTGACAATCAAGAAGAACTCTTTGGTTGAACACTGAAAATAGAAATATTTTTTTACCTAAATAGCATACAGTACATGAAAATACATTTTAATTAGTGATCTATTTAAAGTTAGAATCAGAATAAAAAAAATTTTTAATTTATTCTTCTAATTTACTTAAAATACTGTTTATTCTATAAACTGATTAATTAAAATAAAATACCTTCTAAATGTTAAATCAATAGTTCAAATACTTTATAAAATAATACTTTAAAGCTATAAGGAAAATAATTTGAAACAGAAATAGTAAAGCCAGTACTTGCTCAATATTTTTTCATTTTCAAATACACTGGCCACAGCAAAAATTAACAATGTCAAAAATATAAAGAACAATTCTGGGGAAATATCTGTAAAACATATGAGAGATAAAGGACAAAATTCCCCCAAATATAATAAGCTCTTACAAATCTTACATGGAAAAGATGAATAATCCAAAGAATAATGGCTAAATGAACTGAACATGCAGCTCACAGAAAAAAAAAAAGTCCAATAAGCACATGATTAACCTCACATAGAATTAAGACAAGCAAATTAAAAATACAGGATAGGCCCTGGCCAGTTTGGCTCAGCGGTTAGAGCGTCAGCCTGCGGTCCGGAGAGACCCGGGTTCGGTTCCCGCTAAGGGCACGTACTTCGGTTGCAGTTTGTCACCGGCCCTGGTTGGTCGTGCGGGTGGCAGCCACTCGATGTGTCCCTTCACATCGATGTTTCTCTCTCTCTCTCCTTCCTCTCTCTCCCTCCCACTCTGTCTGTACAAAAAATGGAAAATATCCTCGGGTGAGGATAAAAATAAAAAAAAATAAAAAAAAAATACAGGATAGCATTTTTCACTTATCAGAATGTCAAAAATTTTAAAGCTTCATAATAACCAAGTCATACAGGGTGTAAAAAAAAGACACTTTTGTATATTGTTCATAGAGAAATAACCTTTTTGAAGGACAATTGCCATATCATCATAATAACAAAGTACACATATCCTTTGACTAAGCAATTATACTTTTAAGAATTTGCCCTGGCTGGTTTGGCTCAGCGGTCACAGCGTCGGCCCTCATATCCCCGCTAAGGGCACGTACCTCGGTTGCAGTTTGTCCCTGGCCCCGGTTGGGATCGTGTGGGTGGCAACCACTTGATATGTCTCTCTCACACTGATGTTACTCTCTCTCTCTTTCCCCCTCTCTCCCTCCCACTATCTGAAGATACATGCAAAAATGTCCTCAGGTGAGGATTAACAACAACAAAAAAAGAATTTAACTAAAAATACACTATAGCAAATAGTGAAAACATGTGTATCTGAATATTTATAGTAAATTGTTTGTAATAACATTAAAAGGATAAATAAGAAACCAATATCCAGCAACTGAGATGTTAGAAACAACTCATACAATGTATTAAACAGTTTAAAAAATTCAGACATGTGTACATACTGATGTACAAATTGATAAGGAACTCCATAATGTCAATATACATTGAATATACATAGTACATACACACACACACTATATATATATTTATACAGTAAGATTTCATTTGTGATTCTTAAAATTATATGTGTTATTCTATAGAAATAAACGTATAAATAAAAAATTTCTAGAGAGGTACGCATGTAATTTACTCTGGGTAGTGGGTATGTGGGGATGGTAGAGGAAGACTCTTCACTCTGTTTCATACCCATGTACACTGTTGTCATCTTTTATATGAACATGAATACTTTTTGCACTGGAGCTTCTGAAAAAGAAAATGAGCTAACCATGTGCATCTAATTTCGCTATATCTTGAAACGAAGGTCCGGGACTGCTTAAAAAGGTATGACACCACTAGAATAACTAGGAGAAAAGACAATAGCAACAACATCTTGTAATATTTCTCGGCCTTTTGGCTAAGATCAAGCACAACAACATCTTAGAAGTTCTAAAGTAAATAGATAAGTGGTAATTGTCTTGGAAGACTCAAAATATTTTTATCTTAAACTAGCCCTGAGGAAAACTAGGACCCAACTTGAGTTATATCAAGAATCCTAAAATACTCAGGAACTGGTGGCAGAAATTATCTTTGGAAGTGAAATTGCGGGGGGAGGAGAGGGTGTAGAGAAGGATTGGCTGAGAGTGATTTAAGAAGCAATTAAATCCCTCAATATCCATGCCACTGGGCAACCACCACTCTCCCACCCTACTGAAGACTAGTTTTAGTTTCTGGAGAAGGTAAAACATAAGCTATCCTCAACTAGCAACCATGAAGGATGAGGGTACCACCAATAGCTAGGGATTAAAAGAATGGTTGCAGATTGAACACTGAGATTCCCAGTTGTCCCCATCTAGCTCCCAGAATATTGTTAGCTAGTAAGAAGGCTGAAAAAGTCTCTGGAAAATCTCACAAGCCCAGGAGGAAGATTCTAAAAATACTATTATAGCTAAGATCTGGAAACAGCCCAAGTGCCCATCAGTAGATGAATGGATAAAATAGCTGTGGTACATATACACAATGGAATACTATGCAGTTGTAAGAAAAGAAGAATCTCTTACCCTTTGAGACATCATGGAGGGACCTGGAGAGTATTATGTTAAGTGAAATAAGCCAATCAGAGAAAGACAACTGTCACATGATCTTACTTATACATGGAATCTAATGAACAAAATAAACCAACAAACTAAATAGATACAGAGGTATGGAAGCCTGGAACAGACAGACGAATCTTGGACAAAAGGAGTGGGGGCAGGAAGAGATTAACCAAAGAACTGATATGTTCATATGCATTGCCCATTTCTCTGATTAGTGACATGGACATCTTTTCATATGTCTATTGGCCATCTGCATGTCCTCTTTGGAGAGGTGTCTATTCAGATCCTTTACCCATTTTTAATTGGATTGTTTGTTTGCTTTTTGGTGTTGAGGTTTATAAATTCTTTATAAATTTTGGATATTAAGCCCTTATCAGAATATTGGGGTGAATATGTTCTCCCATTCGGTGGATTGTTTTTTCATTTTGTTGGTTTCCTTTGCTGTGCAAAAACTCTTTAGTTTGATGTAGTCCCATTTGCTTATTTTTTCTTTTGTTTCCCTTGCCTGAGGAGATATATCAGAAAAAATATTGCCACAAGAAATGTCTGAGATTTTACTGCCTATGTTCTCTTCAGGATTTTTATGGTTTCAAATCTAACATTTAAGTTTTTAATCCATTTTGAGTTTATTCTTGTGTATGGTGTAAGAAAGTGGTCTAGTTTCATTTTTTGCATGTATCTATCTAATTTTCCCAATACCATTTATTGAATACACTATTTTTACCCCATTGTATATTTTTGCCTCCAAAAAAAATAATTTGTAGCCTATAATTTTATACCCAAACGGCCAAAAATGTAAAAGTAGAAAAAAGACATTAATGTTTCAAAACATTTCCTTCAATATCCTTTCTCAGAATGCTTCTAAAGGATGTATTCCACCAAAAAAAAGGAAGAATCCAAGAGGAATACATAAAATACGGGAAACAGAAGACTGAGTTGAAGGAAAATAAAGGAAATCTAAGAAGGTAGTTGTATAATAGGTAGGAAGGGCAACTGGTCCAGGTTGGATCAGTTCAGAAAGTTCAAAAAAATAAAATAATAAAAATGTTTGATGAATATAAATATCTTGATCTAAAAGAGATTTAGGGTTGTGATAATGGTAAGTATACATAACAACTAGTATATATACAATGGATTAATGCTCAGAACATATTTAGAAAGACAATTATTAACTATAAGAAATGAGGTAAATTATGCAGAAAAATAAGAAGTTAGGTTCAACTAAACAAAAGTTTAGCTAAAAGTGTATCAATAATAAAGCACCTCTTCTCTAGAAAGGCCACTGTATGCTGGGAAACACATACAGGGACCTGAACTGTTTGCATAAATGTGAAACCTAGAAGCTTTTTGGTCAGTAGTCAGTGACACACTCTAACAAAAATGAAGCACTAAAAAACGTTTTCAATATAATTTTGAAATAATAATCTACATGAGATCACTGTAAATTGAGAAGCAAGAAAGGGGTTGATTTTTCATGCTCAGATATCATGTAAAGTTTAAGTCAGTGACAGAAGCAGACTGAAAACCAGAAGTGCTTTCCAGTCAAGTCCGAAGTGCCCAAGGAAGGTTGTTTTCAAGTTTCTTTCAATGCATCTGCAAGAAAGCGGAGGATGAGGGTGAAGCGGCTACTCCTGGGGTCAAGCAGGCTGAGCCCCACAGCCAGCCTCAAACCTCTAGGCAGAGGAGCTTTAGCGCAGACCTGCAGAGCACAAGCATCACGGCCCCGGAGGAGCCCCAGCCGAGCCCCAGCCGAAGCCCACACTGAAAATCTCGCGTTAGGCTTACACCGTCTGGCTAAGAAACTATTCTCACCCATAAAAAATTGTAGATTTACTGTCCTTCCAACATTTACTACATGCTAGTATCTTTTAAATGTATTCGCCAACATTAGCAGCAATGTTCATGTTCTTACAAAAAAAGTTCTTGGGTAAAGTTAATTGGTTCTTGTGACTATTTTCTAAGATTTGAATTTTAAATTCTATTAAAAGCAATGTTTATTTTATTTCAGGTTAGACTACTTGGGACCCTCCGTTATTAACATCATAAAAGTACTTGTGCCTATTCCACGGCACTCCCCACGCAGCCAGATGGCCTAGGCCGACCCGACCACACATCCACACGGTGTTCCTGACCACTTCATGAATCTCACACAACTGGCACAGCCTGTACCCAGAATCTCACTCACCATTTGGTGCATACAGCAGAAGAGGTTTAGAGTAATCTACTGATAAAGAGCAGACATGTGTTTGATGGTGGGTTCCAAGAGCCAGCTAACTATCTATAAAAGTTTGGCTTAAAGCATTTAGACTTCCTAATGATTTGGTTTGTTACCATATCATTTCTAATCTTCACTTTTCAAACTAATCTTTAGGCACATTAAACATTCCAACAGCAACAAGGAACCACTTCTGAATGAGTCAGAAGTTCTTTAGTAAAGTGTATTTTGAAACTCTAAAATAAAAGTCATTCTTTCTCAACATATTGTACGCTTTTAAAATGAATTAGATTCTATGCCATATGATCTCACTTATATGTGAAATCTAAAAACAACAACAATGACAAAACCAAACTCATGGATAAAGGGAACAGATGGTGGTTGCCAGTGGCAGGAGTGGGTGAAATAGGGGAAGGTGTTCAAGAGGTAAACTTCCAGTTATAAAATAAGTAAGTCACGGGGACGTACAGCCTGGTGACAACAGTTAACAATTCTGTAGTATATTCAAAAGTTGCTAAGAGAGTAGATCTTAAAAGTTCTCATCGTAGAAGAGAACCTCCGTGTACTGCTGGTAGGACTGTGAATTGATGAGGCAACTATGGAAAAGAGTATAAAGATTCCTCAAACAACTAAAAATAGAACTACCAGATGACCCTGCAATTCCACCTCTAGGCATTTAATATGAAGAAAATGAAACCACTACTTTGAAAGATACACGCACCCTTATGTTCATTGCAGCATTGTTTACAGTAGCCAAGATATGGAAGCAATTCAGTTGTCCACAAAGAGATGAGTGGATAAAATAGATGTGGCACATGTATATAATAGACTATTACTCAGCAATATAAATAAATGAAATCTTGCCCTGGCCAGTTTGGCTCAGTGGTTGAGCGTCGGCCTGCAGACCAGACAGTCTCGGGTTCGGTTCCCACTAGGGGCACGTATCACACACACACACACAAAGAAAAGAAATGAAATCTTGCCATTTGAAACAATGTGGACGGACCCACAGGGTATTATACTAAACGAAATAAGTCAGAGAAAAACAAACACCATATGATTTCACTTTTATGTGGAATCTAAAACAAACAACAAAACAAAAACAGACTCAGAAAAAGAGAGCAAACTTATAGCTTCCAGAGGAGAGAGAGGTGGGGAAATGGGTGAAAGGGAATAAGAGGAACAATCTTCGGTTATAAGGTAAAGAAGCCATGGAGATGTGGAGTATAGTGCAGGGATCAGTCAGCAATACTGCAATAACTACGCATGGTGACAGATGTTAGACCTAGGGTAGTGATCATATTGTAAGGTATATAAACGTCGAATCACTGTCGTACACCTGACACTAATATACCATTGTATGCTAACTATAGTTTAATTTTAAAAATTGTTTTAAGTTCTCACATAAGGAAAAAGAAACTTAGTAAGTATGTGTGGTGATGAATGTTAACCAGACTTACTATGGTGATCGTTTCACAATATATATTTATTAAATCATTATGCTGTACACCTGAAACTAATATATTATATGTCAATTATGCATCACTTTTTAAAAAGGAATTTGATTCTGACCTTTACCCAGAGTTGTTAGACTATACATACACAAACCTTATGGAACGCAAAGATCAAAGTCAAGTTTACAGAGCGGCAACGAGGCACACCAGAAATCACAGCAGCACGGAAGGGCACTGCCACCTCCGTGCCACGGACGCTCTGACTAGCTCTTTTGATTCACAATTGATCATTTTTCCAGCTTTGCTCCTATTTTCTCTCTTTTATCTGCCTGTGAATCCTTTCATGTAGTGAAGGCAAGGTGCTTGGAGCTCTGTTGCTTGACGAAGAATAATATAATATACACTGATTGTCATGCATTGGGCCAAGGATACAAAATAAATGGTTTGACATCTTCTCTGTAACCCCTAAAAGTCAATCATAAAACTTTCAATTATCAGCACAGCCTCTGCTCTTGCCAGCAAAACAACCTGGTGCACCATGTGATGGTATAGCAGACACCACTGACTCCGTGACCAACTCACGCGTGTTTTCCCTAGAGATTAGTATTCCCAGTTCTGGCTTTGTTTTCAAATTTAGCTGGAGCATATGGAACAGTTACATAAGTCCTCTTGGGTACTGCAAGTATACTCAGAAAAATTACTTATGGTTCCAGAAAAACTTTGTAGGGGAAAGGGCCTAAAAGAAGTAAAGACTAATGAGAAACTGGTTGCAACTATAATTTGGGTGTGTAAACATTGTTCTACAATGACATTATTAAATTGGAAGGATTTACATTTGGGCAACCAAGAAAAAAATGTAAAGGCAGTCAAACTACTACATCAAAAAATGACAGTGTCCAAAAGTGTAGCCACCAAAACCCCAGTCAAAGACCCTGGGTTAAATCCTAATTCTGTTACTTACTAGCAAATTAAGAATCCTCCCTCAGCAGCAATCATTTTAGCCAAGGAAATGCAAGCTGTTGTAGCATTATATGTAGGTAGCAGTATACATAATTTCCCATCAGTAAGAAGGTGACAACATGGTATCTTCTCAATCTCTTGAAGTTTTTATAAGAAACAAAGGGTCTAATGTAGGTGAATGACTTCTCAATAAGTATAACAAAAGTTTATCAACAATTATAAATATAACTAATTGATAATTCTTTTACATTTAGGCATATCTTGAAATAAATTATTTTGCTAAGTATGAAAAACCTGTCCCGTCATTTTTATGACTTAAACTGTAAAGTTTAAATGATGAAAATAAAAATAATGTTTTTAACTTACCTTCAATATCTTAACTTGTTTGCATATTAAACCACCACAAAAGTATACAAGTAGATTTCTCCTTTAAGTCAAATAAGAAGCTATGCTGAGTTCAAAATAATCAGGCATCCCTTTTTAAAAGAGCTAGTCTAAGTAAATTTCCTATTTTGATGATGGTCCACACTTTGAGGCTAAAACATGAGAATACCCTGTGTTATAACAGAAAGTCCTCTGTGTGTTGCTATAGTTAACAGAAGTGGGCAAACTTTACCTTTTACAATGCAATAACTTTAATTTGTGCAATTAAAAGTTCTGAGAATTCTCTCACACTATCTACAACATTCTACAAAATACAAGGACAATACAGCTCTGACATGTTTTCCTTTTAATATCTGGATTCCTCATGCTGAGGAACAGTATTGGTTTTAACAGATTTGATTTCTATCACACTTACTTTTTTGTGATAAATGCTACAGAGTCCTCTCTCTACGTCAGGCAACTTACGTAGATGATTTTCTATCTGACCAAACACACTGGATTCGGAATGGAGAACTTCAGATACAGCATCCAGCCGAGCATTTATTTCCCTGTGAGAACAGTAACAGCAATTAGGAGATATGGTAGCAATCAGAATGTAGGCATCTCCCACTCTAAAGCCCAGCAATGGGATGAGCCACTTAAAAGAGCACAAAGGAGGATTCTCCACATCTCTGGTCCTTTCCTGGCCCTCATTATTTGAATAAAAACATAGGTACCACACAAGGAGAGTCATTGTTAGGTAGAGACCGGCTCATCAGGATTTCCCTTCCTCCTGGGCAGACACAAAGACTGCTTTTCTCAGTCACCCCGAAGGTAGGTAGGCCATGTACCAACTTCTAGCCAATGAAAGGTGTGTAGGAATGATTAAGCCACTTCTAGCCCTTGCCCGTAAAGACCTCCTGGGTGTTCACTCTCTCCCCCTTTGCCAGCTGGATGTTGAGCTCAGGGCAATCTTGTTGACTCTATCAGCCTGGGCCCATGAATGGAGCAAAAAGCCTTCCAATCCCACATCTACCCACTGGACTTTACATTAGCAGGAAATTAACTTCTACTGCATTTAAACCAGATGGAGGATTTACATGCTACAATTGTTTGCATAACCTTGGCTACTATAACAGATCTACAAAGGGCAACGAGATTTTCCTGACTGAAATGACTGACCATCTCAGTCAAAAAACAATTCATTGCATTAATCAAGTGCTTTGACAGAAGACTTGATGGTGGTGGTGGGTGAATCGATCGACTGCTCGAGTGAAATGGGATCCGGCCTACGGAGCCTGAGCAAAGACTGGGAGCAGCTACAGAAAGTGCAGAGGACGTGGTATCAGGAGACATGGGAGACCAGGGGTGCAGGAGTCTATCGTCTACACCCTCAGTGATGGGTCACCTGGGAAGAAATGGTGAGGCTCTGTCAATTTAAAATGGAACCCTGACTGACTAAATGTGTCCAATATGCCATGTGGCCCATCTAGCTCAACTAACCACCAAAGGTCTACACTAGGTGTAATGGCCATATGTGGTATTAAAGACTGAGACAAGTAAACCTATCTAGTGACTAGCAGGCCCTCAGCAAATGTTATTTTGAATGAATGAATGAATGAACAAACAAGCAAGCAATGAAAGAATGAACTGACATTTGGGGGGACAGGGAGGTATCAGCTCCTAAATACACATTTGTTTATCAGAGTTCTATTGATATCACACACATTCGTGTGAAAGGACAAACCTCACGTCAGAATCCTGCCTAGATGACTGTTAAATTGAGTATTTTGCAATTAACTGAGTGATACTATCTTTATTATCTTTAAAACTATCCTGTGAGGCCATGCCTGTTCCTGATACAGAAACTAAATTCAGGTCTCACTGCCGCTCCATTTTTCTTGGGATGTGAAATAGGCATTTGTTTAGCATAACGCAGCAGAACAAGCCATAGCCCGGCAGACCCAGTCTGGCTCTTCCATTCTCTTTGGGGTGGCCCCTTAATTCCCTCCATTTCTTTCCATCTCTGCTGCCATTACACTAGTCTCAGTAAAAGATCATTTCTCAGAAAGACTACTAAAACAGCCTCCTAAATTCCCTCCCCACATTCACTTCTGTCCCTTTCTCCGGTCCGTTCTCCACACTGTACCCTCAGAGGTCTTGCTAGAACCCAAACCTGTTCATGCCATTCCTCTGTTTTAAGCTTATCAATGACTTGCCATTGATCTTAGGTTCAAATCTGGAACCCTTAACTGACCTACAAGACAACTGATCCCTGCTTACCTCTCAAGTCTCACTTTAGAATACCTATCCCCTCTTCTTCTAGCGCTAAGCTTCAGTCAGACCGAACTTCCAATACCCTGATCACTCCAAGTTCTCTGACATCAGAGCTGTCAAGCTGGCTGCTCACTCTACTCTGGAGACTCTTTTCCTCTTTCCTACAACCTACAAGCCCCACTTCTGTGGCAAGCTCCTAATCACTCTTCCTCTGAGAGGGCTTCTGAGATGCATTTGACCAGATTTAATCCTTTGCCATCCCTTTCTATACCACTCTCTATTTCCTTCCCATAGTGAAAATCATAATTGTATGTACTTCCTCACTGTCTTTTCCACTAGACTATAAGCTCAATGAGAACAGGGATTATATCTTCACTCCCATAGTTCTGGGATTACAGTATGTGCTCAATAAATAGTAGTTGAATTGAATTCAATTCAATTCTAAAGACTACATATAAAATAAGGAAAATGAGGTAAAAAAAAATAATAATAATTACATTTTCCTTCCATAGGATTGTTGTGATAAAATAAATCAATGTTGTACCCTAACATTTACCCAAAATGCTATACAAATATAAAGTTTTATTTTAATAACTCACTCCTGAATAAATGAGAGACGGCACCAATTGGAATAGACAAGATGATGCTACAGATGGTATGAGGACAGATAAAATAATGCCATCTGTGAATGTATAAGACAGCCGAGAAAGATAGCTACTCTCTCAACAATTATAAAGGTTGTCTGAGATATGAAAGGATAAAAGCAAAAGAAGTTAATAAAAATCTAAATATTTATGAAGTCCACCAGAACATTTTTTAAAAATAGACATAAAACTATAAATTTCTTAGAAAGAGACTAAAAAGGTTGTTCTAAGTTGGTTTGCAACCTGGGAAAATACAAAGGTAGTAGTTTTTATTTTAGCCTGTGACACCACAGGCAAAGCATGTTCACTATGAATCATTTTGGCTTTAACCTAGACTTCATTTGTTACACAGAGGTAATAGCTCAGAGGTCAATAATTGGGGCTGAGAAGGCAGGTGATCTCAGTTCAAATCCAGGCTCTACCATTTACCAATTATTTAGCCTCACTCTATTATTATTATTATTTTTTTTTATCCTCACCCGAGGACATTTTTCCATTTTTTGTTCAGGTAGAGTGGGAGGGAGAGAGAGGAACAGAGAGAGAGAGAGAAACATCGACGTGAAAGGAACACATCGAGTGGCTGCCACCCGCACGACCGACCAGGGCCGGGGACAAACTGCAACCGAGGTATGCGCCCTTAGCGGGAACCGAACCCGGGTCTCTCTGGACCGCAGACCGACGCTCTAACCGCTGAGCCAAACTGGCCAGGGCTAGCCTCACTCTAGATTCTCCATCTATAATTGAGAACAATAACTTCCCCTCATAGAGCTGTTACAAGAATTCAATGAAATAATACATGTTAAGCACTTAACACAGTGCCTGGTACATAGTAATTACTCAAAGCATGTTAACTGTTACCATCGTCATTTGCATGGTGATCTTTATTGGCTTACAGAATTTGTTTGGTAGAGTCCACAAAGAACAGCATGAGGGAGGGGACAAACAGCACCCAAATATAAGCTTGTAAATAACTGTGTGTAGGCAAAACTTAAGACACTGACATGCAAAAAAGTATTTTATGCAAAGTGAGCAACAAGGAAGGATTACACAAGGAAAGCTAGTTCTGGGATCTCAACTGCTAAAGCTAACTGGTAGTAGTAGTGACTTGAAGTGCTGTGGTGAGACTCGTTAGCAGGCGGCAGAGAAGAATGCACAATCGAGGACAGACGTCTAGCATGGACAGGGAGGAGAAAGGAGGTGTGGTACTGTTTACCACAAATCTCTCATCACTGAGGCAGTTATAATTCCACTTTATCTGCCATAAGCAGATCATCATGCAAAGAAATAAAAATGTCTAATCAGGTTGTTTAAGTAAAAAAGTTTGCATACCTTAGAACTATCCTTAATTAGCAGTAGTAAGAAGGCTTTCCAAATAATTGTAAAAAAAATATGTCAAACCACTAGAATAGAGAACAATTACTTTGGTGCAATCAATGAAAGAGATTTGGTGACAGTCAACAAAACAGTCAATTAGATGATGGTAAAGATACTATTCCAAGAGGCCCTATAGTATTCTACAGTTGATCTTAAAACATGGTACAATCTAAAGCTTCCTCAAGAAATTGTGTTGGAAAAATTGGTTAGCCACATGTAAAAGAATGAAACTAGACTGTTATTTGATATAATACATAAAAATTAACTCAGAATGGATTAAAAACTTAAATATAAGACCTTAAACAATAAAATACACAGGAGAAAACATAGGCACTAAACTTATGGAACTTGGTCTCAAAGAGGTTTTAGTGAGCTTGACCCCAAAAACAGGGGAAGTAAAAGAAAAATAAGTCACCCAGTCAGTGTGGCTCAGTGGATTGAGCATCTTCCCATAGACTGAGAGGTCCCAATTCAATTCCCAGTTGAGGCACATGCCCAGGTTGCACGCTCGATCTCCAGGAGGGCACATGCAGGAAGCAGCCGATCGATGCTTCTCTCTCACATCAATGTTTCTATCTCTCTCTCCCTTCCTCTCTCTCTAAAAAAAAAATCAATAAAAACATATTTAAAAAAAAGAAAGAAAAATAAGTCAATAGGACTACATTAAACTAAAAAGCTTCTGCACAGCAAAAGAAACCATCAACAGAACAAAAAAGCAACCAACCAACCAACTGGGGGAAGATATTTACAAATGATATTGCAATAAGGGGCTAATATTCAAAATATAAAGAACTCATACAATTCAACAACAACAAAAATAAATAATACAATTAAAAACCGGCATAGGGCACTTTTTCCAAGAAGACATACAATGGCAAACAGATATTTAAAAAGTTGATCAATTGCACTAGCTATAAGGGAAAAGCAAATCAAAACCTCAGTGAGACACCACCTCAGACCTGTTAGAATGGCTATTATCTATTATCAGCTACACAAGACATAACAAGTGTTGGAGAGGATGTAAAGAGAAAAGAACACTCGTACTGCTGGTGGAAATGTAAACTAGTAGAGCCAGTATGGAAAAAAGTATGGAGGTTCCTCAAAAAATTAAGAATAGAGTTACCCTATGACCCAGCAATCCCCTCTTCTGGGTGTCTACTAGAAAAATTTAAAAACATGTATTTGTAAAGAAATATGCACCCCTATGTTCACTGCACCATTATTCACAGTGGCCAAGACATGAAAACAAATTAAGTGTCCTTTGGTGGATGACT